CCAAAGCTGCTTTCTAGGGTGAGCCACCTTGACTCTTCCATCCCATCCCGCTTGTCTCCTTTCCCCCACAGGACCCTTTTGGAGAGAAGCGGGGCCACTTTGACTACCAGTCCCTCTTGATGCGCCTGGGACTGATTCGTCAAAAAGTGCTGGAGAGGCTCCATAATGAGAACACGGAAATGGACTCTGACAGCAGCTCGTCTGGGACAGAGACAGACCTGCATGGGAGCCTGAGGGTTTAGACCCTGCTCCCCTCTCCCTTCCCCCCACTCGAGAGTCCCAGCAAAGTTCCTTCCCCCCACCCCAGGGATGGAGAGGCACTGTGTATCTCCCTCCAAACGTGACGTCATCCTGCAAGATGGCAAGAACCAAGCAAGCTTGGATCCCAGGGTGTGGGAGTGGGGAGGCTGTTCCCCATCTGACCTCCTTGGCTCTCGAGCATCTGGGGCTATGTTCATCCCATATCAGGGGCCAGGGTACCTATGCAGGAGCACCTAGGGCGGGGGCCTCTGGCAAAAACAAAACAACCAACACACCTCTCCACAGGGCCAGCTCCTTAGGGATAGGCGGGAGACAGAAATTGCAATCCCAAGAGGGAGTGTGCCCAAAATGATTTATGGGGATACCTGGAAGGGAGCTTGGGGTGGGGGGGTCTGTCTGTGACACTTAAGCAGTCTGGGTGGTTGTCTGTCTGTCTGCAGTCTTGAAACAGGGCTTCCCAATGCCCTTTTCCTCCCTGCCTCTCTTCCCCCATTATTTCCCATGGGCCAGCATAAGTTTTTTTCCCCTAATTTATAGTCACTGTTCTAGACAGACCAAAGAGAAGGAACAGTGGTGGAGTCTAGGCTGCTGATCAGTAAGCTTTACCTAGCACCTGAGCACCTTTCTCTTCTGCCCTCCATTCCCTCACCCATTTCTAGATTTAAGTCAGGAGATAAATGTGACTGGGACTAAACCAAGTTTTGGTAAAGCCTGCACAGTCACCATAAGAAGCTGAAAATGCTGTTTTTATTCCCACAATCACTGATTTGAAAAGTTCCCAACACAGGCAGCTGCTGTGTGTATGGGATTAGAGCCACTATATAGAATTCTCTCTTACCGATTTTCATAAATACTAGTCACAACGAGGGTTTCTCCTGGGGAGGGGGTGAGGGAGGAGACTGATGCTAGTCCTATTGTATTTTGTTTGGCCGTCCTTGGATATTTTTGCCCCGGCCTGTAGTCCCCCCTCCTCACTTCAATGCCAAGGGACTTGTGGGGAGCAAGGGTAGCCAATGGCAGAGGAGATTGGGGCTGGAACTCTGGCGACTTCTCCCCCTTCCCCCCTCCCCCCCCCCCAGCTGCTCTTTGTCACTGGCTCTGATGGGTGTTTGCCTGGCTGTGTTGCTTCTTTATCTGTATTAGCTACAGTGATCCTTTAGCTGATTGGCTCAGAAAAATGTATACTTTAGGTGCCCTGTGGTACTGGGCACTGAGGGAATCCATCCTTCCCCTTTTTGATACGTTCTCCCCCGTTTTCCAGATTCTTACTGTTACAGCTCCCAGTGGGGTATTGGTGACCCACGTGACGCAGGGCCCCAGTCAGTATCTAGCCACGTGTAAAGGAAAGGATAACTTGTACCTGCTCTGCCAGCTGCTATGGAGGCCTCTGCCTTGTGGATCATGGGACTTCCCTGGGGGAGTTGGGAAGGGGGTGGGCACAAAGGAGAATGTCCCACTTGGGAGAGCAGGAAGCAAAGAAACTGGACAGGAAGTGGGTCTGGGGAACAAGTTTATGTTGGATACCTGAAGGCTGGGTCTTTTCACAAGGAGACTCAGAAAAGGACCCTGCTTCCGATTTCCCTCTTCCATTCCCAGAGCTAGTACAGGGCTTAGAAGAATGCCCTTGGTCTGTTGGTCCAGTGTTGTCTGTCATCCATTTAAGTGTTCCCACTTTCAAGTGACAATCCTCTCCTTGGCCCTGCCATGGGCAGAACATGTCTGGCATACTGGCCTGACTTACGCCCTAATCTTGAGTTGAGGAGATATATGCACAGGAGTCAAAAAGATGTCTTTATATCTGACTGTACATAAATGAAGTTTTTTTTTTCTTTTTGGTGCAATAAAGTTTGTTTTGGCAGAAGGAGGAGGCGCCTATGGGTGTGGGAGGGTTTGTGTAAAGGAAGAAGGGAATCATCTACCAACCACACATCTTGCCTAGGCCAGAAACTTGTCAGGGAGAAAGTACTCTGAATTATCTGGGAGCTGAAAAGTTGGGTTAAATGATGTGGATGGAAGCAGGACTGGTGACAGAAGTTTCGACCGACCAGAAATAGGGTCCTTGTCTTGAGGCTATATCTCTGGCAGTCGAGAGGAATACCATCTTAGCCTCAATTGCTTCCAAAGAAGTACCAATTCAGAAACTGGAAAGGGAGCATGGTCTACAAGGGCAGGCAGGTGCAGATGGGCTTCGCCTATAATATCCCCTAAGGAAAGGGTGTCTAGGTGGATAATCCAAACCATTGGGTTTTCAGTTTTCTGCTACTAAACCAGCCCTTAGGAATTTAGCATTCAGACTGTGAAAACTGGGCTTGACACTTGTGTCACAGCTCATCGCTGCCTTTCCTACTTGCTATCAAAGGCTCTTACTGTCTGGTAGAGGCTTTTCCTCTAGGCTGACCATTTACGTAGGAAGAAATTAGTGTCCTGTCGGCCTGTGCTGTGCAAAGTGAACTTGGGTTAGTGGGCTTTGATTCTACTTAAGCTGGTGATCCCTAGTAAATTAGCTTCCTCACCTGCAAAGTTAAGGATACGTACTTCCTTAACTTAAGGTGGGTATGAGGATCAAAAGAGGTGTATATAGAACTGGGCACAGGGTTAGGTGTTCAGTAAGTCATTTTCTTTTCTACCATTAAGGCTAGAAGGACCCTGGTGATCAGTCCAGAAGGGAAAGCTAGTAGGGAATTTGAGAAACAATACTACATTCACTATTGGTTGGCTGCCCTCAAATTCCATTGTTTTCTTCCCCCTAACCACCATTTAACATTAGCCTCTCCTTCACATTCATAGCCAAGCCTGTCATAACCGGGAATCTCTACAGAGGGAGCTAAAGAGTGAATATTTACTAGTCCTTTAGGTTCTGCTCATTTGAGATGAACATTTTATAAGGAAGAGGTTTGAATTAACAGAGGCTGTAATCTATGTCTCGGCTACAAATAGAGTAGACTGTTTAGCCAGGAGACAGATGGCCTTCATTCTAGGCCCAGCTCTGCCATGGACGTGTAGATGACCTGTGCAAGTCATTTTATACATGTTCGCTGTTCTCTGTTACTCAGGTTATCCTTCCTGGATAAATGAGGTTTTCTCCAATAAAGATGCAATGTGAAGGCACTTTAAAAAAATAAAATGGGTGAAGAATACTAGGGGAAGAAAAAAACTTGGAACATTATTTTCTGTGGTTTTCTGGTTTTTTTTTTAAACAAAGTTGTCCAGGTTTTATTCACCAACAATTTTTCCCTCTTCTCCCTGCCTACTGCTGTGCCCCCTTCCACACTCCCAGGGTTAGGGGAGGGCTTCTCTGGCCTCCTCAGCTGTGATCTCCTGGGAGTAGAGGTCAGTGAAGAGAGCTGGCAGCCAGTAGTGGGCTTCCCCTGGGGCCTGCAGATCCAGCCAAGCCAGCCCTTCTTTCAACAGGTGTTCCTGGAGGGGAAAGGTAGGAAGCGTCATTTGAGAAAGGGGAGTTCCCACAAAATAGATAAAACAATCCTCATACCTATTTTGGCTTCAGTGGGTTTTCAAACTAAATTTACTTGAGTGCCTTCACACATTTCAACCAAACTGGAATGATCTGGCCTTGACCTTTACCTGAAGTACGAAAGATGCCACCAAGTCATTTAACCTGTGCGGCTGGAAAAGTGGGTAAAGACAAGTAGAGTGGGATGCTGTGGAAGGAATGGAGGGCTACAGAAGTATTTGCTATTTGGCCTTGAGCAAATCACTGACTCCGTTCCCTGAAGCAAAAGGGAGATCACTACCTTTCAGTTAGCTTACTAGGTAACAGGCAGATGTGGTAAACCTTTTGGGAGAAGTTAATGGAAGGAGCATATTAGTAGAATGGACTCAGTTCCTACAGCTGGAAATAGGCCCAAGATTGGTTGGTTCTGCTAGATACTAAACGTGTATGTTATCCCTACTTTACAGATGAAATTGAGTCTACAGGTTAATTATATGGATAAGGAAGAAGGTAGTAAAATCCTACATTTCCATCCTACTCCCTCTTCACAACATCAATCTTCATTAGTACCATGAAATTTGTATATATAAAACTATATATGCAATAGTGTATAATTATAGATCTATATGCAACTCTATAATTATAGATACGTAATTACCGTAAGTAGTTAATATCCTTCACTGAATTGTTACTTCCAGTACAAACTACATCAACCATCTGACCAGGCTCTGCAGGTTAGGAGAGGAGGTGATCCCCCCTGAGCAGTGGCAGCCTGGTTTTACACACGTGTCAGGGTTAGAATCCTGCTTTGTGAGTTCTGCCTCTTGGTGCCACCTTCAGAGAAACGCTGGGGTTCCTTCTGGTGTGGCAGCAGTTGCCTCAAGGCAAGAGGCCAGCAGAACAAGGCTGAAGCTCCCGTGGCTCCTATCCACCCACCTCCTCCCCTCTGGGTCCATCTTTTCTGGGCCATTCCAAAAGTCACATACCAGCACTTGTCGCGCTCGCTCTGTTTCCCATTTAAGACTGGCTTTGATATCACTGACAGTCACGTAGCCATTTTTCTGAAGGAAGGAGGAATGGGGATTGAGTTAACAGGGTGCTTTCCCTTAGAACCCAGCATCTGCTGGGGGACAATCGATTTATCCAGACAGGAGGAGGGACTGCCCTTGGGCAAAGAAAGCCTAAGAGCAGAGAAACAAAAGTTTAGAGATCCCAGCAGAGACAGAGGTAGAGGGAGGGGTGACTTTCAAGGTGACAGGTAGGTTGAGGGGTTCCGTCTTAAAATGTGGAGCCCCTGGTACTAAAATGTTAATTTAGGTTTTCTCAGAGAACTCTATATAGAGTATGACAAGAGAAGATTAAGGATGATTAACTGATAGGAAGAAATAATGATAATCATTAACTGTTCATAATCTGAAATATTTAAATATTCAGCCTTTACCCTGCCTCACCCTATCCCCCAATCAAAAAAAGCCCCTCCCTTGTTTAGTTTTGTTGTACACTACAGAATTAAAACTGAACATGCCTTTCCTAAATACATGGTAAGGATTTGAGGGAGGATGGTATATGCTTAAGGCATGCTGAGGAACGGGGGATGGCAAATAAGATGAAACATTTGTTTTAAAGAACCCATAAAGTATTTTTAAGAAGACATCCAAGAACTTGTCGACCCAAGGAAACAGTTGTCTGCATGTCTGTCTGCTCCACTAGACTGTAAGCTCCTTGAGGGCAGGAACTATATGGTACCCATCTTTCTATGGCCCACAGCCTAGCCCAGTGCTTTGCACTGTAGCTGCTCAATAAATGTCTGCTAAATAAGCACCGGTCTGAGCGCATCCATCCATTAGACAGTTCAATGAGAAGACCTGAGTGATCTGGGGAAGAGGTCAGAGGTGCTCTGGGATCCCCTCCCAGACTGTCCCTTACATGCACACATGTGCACACACATACACACACACTCTCAGAAGGCACTCCGGTACCTCTGCCAGCTGCAGCACCACAGTGTGATCCATATTAAGCTCAGCTGGAACAGACTGAATGAGGTAAGTGCCGCCCACAGGGATGATGCCGAAGCCAGTGCCAAGTGCCTTTAGTTTCTTGATGGCCCTGATCAGGTCGTCTCTGAGGGGAGGAAGAGCTGCTTAAAGACCCTTGGCAGACCAGACCCAGCCACAATGCAGTTTCAGCTCTGCCCTGGGCAGGGTACCCTGATAGAAGACTCAAAAGGCTGCACAACATTTAACTATGTTAGTAAAAAGGGAGGGTTAAAGGGCCCCAAATGGTGCTTAGACATTCAAGGGAGATAGACGGTCAGGCTCTCCACTCAGCAAACCATTCCAACATGGGACAGAGGTAAAAAATTTGCCTACAGGAGCCCATCAGGACACGTGAATGAATGAAAGCTACATGTAAGAGACAACAGAGAGTAGTGTGAACTATGGCAAAATAGAGAAGGCTTATCCCGTTTTAAAGGGGGTAACCCGAAGTGATAATTGCCATTTGGAAATTGAGGCCCAATACTGCCAAATTTTCTTATTTCTTAGTTGACGACAAATTGGGGAAAAAACCTACAAATCAATGTGTAGAACACATACCGACAGCCTCTTTTACATTTTCTCAAATTGGAGTCACACACAGAGGCTGCTGAACCAGGTCAATTTATACCCCATCTTCTGACCCCTGCCTCTCTAACTCGCTGCTCTATTGACTCAATCTGGAGTATACACAGCCCCAAAAATGTTAAAACAACAACAAAAAAATGCATATGTATGCATGAAAATACTTAGAAGAAACTATACCAAAATGTTTAACAGTTATAATCTCTCATTTGAGAAATAATGGGGTTTTTTTTAATCTATGTTCAGTTTTTTAAAATAAAACCTTTTTTCTGATCATAAAGAGGAATAAAAGTGATTCCTAAACTATCCTAGACATATGAGCAGTGGGGAGAAAAGATATCCATCTAATTTTTAAAGACCTTTCTATACTCCAAGGGGTTGGAAGGCAAGACCTACTGGCTGACATCCTGGGCGAATTTGCCCCTTCCTTTTAACACCTGTTGATGTAGTTCCTCCAGAGTTATCAAACCTGTTGGAGAAGGGGGACAGAAAGCAGAGGAAGGATTACTTTTATGGCTAAAAAGAACTAACCAACCAACCAAAAGGAGCACCATCTTTGAAAAACTATAAATGTTCCCTTGACATCAGGCTATGTCTATTGATAACCAAGGATTCGTAACTGGTTTCAGGTTTTCTTAACTTCAACGCAGACCATTTAATGTGCTTATTAAGATGACACCATTGGATGACCATTTTTAAGGTCACATTTTAGAGAGTACATACAGTATTTTCTAACTCCCTACTATTTTTTTTACAATAACTAGGGGCTAAATCTTTCTGGCCAAAGATCTTTGGAGAACAGAGACAATCACTCAGGTAACTCCATTTGCCCATGGAGACCTACCATGGACTCAACTGTATAAAGTAGCTAAGATGCTTCTAAGACCTAACAGCTTCTCAGGACCTTATTGGCCTGCAGATTGCAGGATGGGGAGGATCATCTTTCAAGGCTTTCTCCCTCTCAGAGAAGTCCAATGCCTAGTCCACAGGGCCTAACCACCCTCACCTCCATTCCGGTGCTTCAGGGCCAGGCACACTTCGATAATCTGGACTCCCAGCTCATAATAGAAGTCTCCCACACCTAGCATCTCAGACCAAAATCCTTTTCCAGCTAAAAGACAGAAAAACGAAAGCTACATTATTCATTAGTTACATCTTTTCTTTCAAAGCTAGATTAAAACATCTATCTTATGGGAAATCTTCCCTTCTTAGTCTTAAGTCCTTCTGCTCCATTTACTACTCAGGATCCTCAACACAATCTGACTCTTGGTAATTCCTGCTAAACAACAGTCTCAGACTGTTCTAAAAGTTGGGCAATCTAAAAGGCATTTCTATTTGGCTGCTATTTCTGGCCCAGGATACTACAAAAATGAGTCTTCCTTTCCCAAAGCATACACTGAAATATAATGAGACATGTGGTCTGGACAAGAGAAAGAATCTGCAGACCTAGCATTCAAAAATCCACTGAAGGGCCGGTCAAGTGGTGTGATGGTTAAGAACTGGCTTGGGACTCCAGAGGGCCCCGGTTCGGATCCCACATATGAGGGCTAGTGACACTGCCCTCTACAGCTAAGATGCTGAACAACAGCTCAAACTGGAGCTGGGCTGCCGTGAGTCGCCGGCGACTGTGTAGGCTGCAGCCCCTGCTGCAGTGAGTTGCCATGGACTACCATGTGTAGCTAGCGTGAGCAGCCAAGCAGTCACAGTGAGCGGCTGTCCAGAAGCCAGCGACTGATCTGCCTCGCCCGGGAAGAGCGCAATGATGGTGCCAACCTGGGCCAGTGAAGCAATGTCCTCCACAACTAGACTGAAGAACAAAAGGACAGAAACTTGTCTGTTCCCATCCCCCCAATTCCCCAATAAAAATTAAAAAAAAAAATAAAATAAAATCCACTGAAGACAATATTTTATTGAGTGAAAAATGCAGGTTATAGAGTTGTGATTATAGCAGAATCCCACATATGTAATAATAAAAAGTTTATAACTATGATAAAAGTGTCTAGAAAGATACACCCAAAAGAAAAAAAAAAAGAAAGATGCACCGTAAACTATCAATAATGCTTTATCTCTTCAATTACAGGACAGGGTCAGGAGACTTCTACTTTCTCCCTTTCTTTTTTCTCCTTTGTTGACTACATGATCACATACTACTTTTATTAAAACTAAACATTTTTTTAAGAAAGGGAAAAAATAGCCATAAAAAAATTCCACTGTAGGGTCACCAGTTCGATTCACAGCCCGAGCTGAGCGCTGCTGAGCTGCCAACAGGTGGCAGGATGGCTCAGCTTAAAAAAAAAAAATCCACTGTATTGCCAGTTAGACTCCCGCATATGGGATGGTGGGCTGCCCCCCCCCCCCCCCCCCCCCAACTAAGATTGAACACAGCACCTTGAGCTGAGCGGCCATGAATTGCCGATGGGCGGCCGGATGGCGACTGGACATGGAGCTGAGTTAGTTGCGCCCTCCACAATTAAGATTCAAGAACAACAACTTGGCTGTGGCCCTTCCCCAATTAAAGAAAAAAAAAAATTCCACCGTAGTTCATTCAAAGGAGGATCACATACACTGGCTCCTCAGCCTGCACTCCAGCCTTGCCATCTTCCCTATCAAACTGGGCACTCAGCCATCCTGCTAGGCATTCCCTAAAGACAACGCTCTGTATCTCCCTTCAGGCCCTTCTAGAAGATGGCCCAACACCAGTGATAACAACTAGGTAGTTTCTGTCCCTTTGGAATCCTAGAACACTGGACCCCTACAGACAACTTACAGGCCAGAGGATCAACCCCAATGGTGGCACACATGTCCTGGAACTGCACCCGGAACTCAGGATTCTTCCGGATTTCTTGCTTGTGTTTGCTGGCAAATTCCTCCAGGTTGGTCTTAAACATGTCCAACTGTTTCGACATCTGTAGGATGGACAAGGGGGAGGTTAGTGGCAGCCCGGCTAGGTGATAATCAAAATGTCAAAAATAGGTCCCTGGCTCAGTGGCAAGGCAAAGGCTGAAATAAGCTATCTCCTCAAGCCACCATTTTGCTGTTTTCTGTTCCCTTTCTTTTGATCCCTGCCTCTCCTACACAGTTCTGTTGTCAGCAGAAATGAGATGTTATAATGTTTCCTCAATTCTAAAATACACATTTTTTTGTCATGTGTTCCTGTTCTAAAGTCAGGATGCATCTAACAATCAACAAGCACACCTAATGTGGTGCTTCTTTTTCCCAGAAAAACTGTTATTAAATTGAAGGTGGATCTAATAATCCATTTTGTCTTCAAAGTGAGGGAATGCAGCATTCACACAGTGGGAAATTTTCAGCTGCTGACAGAAAAGCTGGATAGGAGAAAAAGAAAGTCTGCCATGAATTAGGTGTGCAGTGCCTGTTTAAGTCATGGATCTCCTTGGAGATCAACTCCAGATAAAGAATCCTTGTGGGAGGGCTAAGGGTCTACCAGATTACATTCAAAAGCTAAATACAAAACAGTTTGGGGATTTTCTGACTTCCTATTCATATCACTGCTTCTCACAAAGCCTATCTTTTAACCCACCAAAAGTAACCACTTTTGGCCCAACATCTCGTTTGCTATATATTAGAACTTACACATTATTATAGTCACCATTTCCAGTTGTTTCCTGCATGTCATCTCTCTTATGAATGGGAGCTTTGGAAGAGCACAGCCTGTGTCTACTATCTTTCCTCAGTTCAAGGACCCATTTCCCTGCTTAACTGCCTTCTCCTCTTCTTCACCAGTCACAATAACTGAGTTAACTCTGGGAATGCACAGAAAAGGAGAAAGAGCTAGAGAAGGAAACTGTGCAGGTGCCACACCCCTATCACTCACACACGCTTCTGGTATGCACCTAGATATGACGGTAGTGGTGGTGGGTGCCACAGGTTAGGTAATCTTTTTGTGTTTTTCTTAGGCATTTAAAGTAAAAACTCCAAAAGACCTAAATCAAACAGCTCTACCACTTGCTTCACACGTCAAATTACTTCACACGTCAAGGTCCTCAATTTTTACCTAGGAAGAGTAGTGTTCCTTCCTGATAGGATTGTCAGGAAGAATGAAACAGTCTATGTAAAGAAAATGGACACATGCCTGGGACGCTATGGGCATGTGATCACTCAAAGATGTATTATTATTATTATTACTACTATTATTATTACCAAGTCGCCTAAAAGATCTGAGCAGCCCCGAAATCAGGATTTGCCAAATACCCTATATCTAGTTCAACCCAAACAATCCAGTTTATATCAAAGGTGTCCTGTCCAGCCTTGTCTCCCTTCCTTCCTGGAACCTTCCAACCGACTCACCTGGGCCAGCTGGTCCTCAGCCAAGACTGTCCCTCGTTCCTTGTACTTGGCCTGTCAGACAAAGAGACTAGCATGAATTAAGCGAGTGGGCGATGGGGGCACCGCCTCAGCTTAAGTATGAAAGGGGGAGGGTCTCTCTTAAATGGGTTTTCTTAGGGAGAGGCTGAGATAGTAGAATGGACGCCTCGTCTGTAGTCAAATTTGGGGAAGTGGGAGAAAGGGCTGGTGGATCTGGGGTTGCTGGCATTCCAATCCACCGGAAGCTGGAGAAACTCCGTTCCCAGGAACCCGAGAAGCCCGTGTCAGACTCTGTTGGGAGGCAATTTGAGGGTACAGAGCTCTGCTCCAGAGACTTCAGTCTCCCGCGGGTCAGGGGTGGCTGTGGGTCCTCCTTCTTCCCCTCACCTCGGCAAGCTTCTTCTTGGCAATGGCGCCGGCTCCCACCCCGCGGCGGTGCATTCCCGCCCTGGGCCCGCGGGCCGCCCCGCTGTTGGGACCCCGGGTTTCTGCTTCCCGGGATCCGCGGCCGGCTCCCCAACGCGGAAGCGCGATCCGCGCGTCATCTCCGCGCGCCGGAAGCTACGCTTCGACTTCCTGCCGCGGGGTCGCCAGTCTCCCACCGCCAGGGGCTCGGGCCCCGCCTTTCGCTGATGGCCGAGTTCCGCGAAGCGGTGTGGCGGGGAAGGCGCGGGGTCGGGATGCCGAGATCCAGTTGCCTTTGTGCGGCCCCGCGCTCCCCACCCATGTGGATGCTTGGGACCCTCTTATCTTTACACCACTGCGCCTCCAACGCCATCCCAGCCACTGGTGCTCAGTGGCCGCCTACTATGTGCTAGACGTGGAGTTGGCCTCGGTTCCATATAGAGCACAAACCAAATCCATTCTACATTAATGGAGCTTACTTGTGATAGTCACGCGCAGGAATTCTGACTGGCGAAGGCTTTACAGTTAAGAACTTGGACTCTGGAGTTACATTGCCTGCCTCTATAGCTCACTTCCGCTACATATGGTCCAGTAACGAGGCAAATTCCTTAATCTCTTGTGTTCCAGTTTCCACAGTTGTGAAGGAGTAACACTTACTCATGAAGTTGTACTATGTCATAAAATGTTCAACAAAGTATTTAGGGCAATGCGTGGCACATAAGTAAATATCAGCTATGATTATTACTCGTCAGGTCTGGGGTGGTAATGGTCACCTATGTGTTTAGGAAGCGCCATAGGTGATTTACATTACTGAGGCAAAGAAGGAGCTAATGGAGAACTCTTAAGTCAGTAATAAGATCAAATTTTTGTTTTAGAAGAATTCCTGGCAACCTAGACTTAAGTCAATTTTAGCAATCTAAACTAGAAATGATGAGGGCTAGAACTAAGACAGCGACAGGATACAAAGAATGGTGTGAATTCAGGAGACATTAAGAGGGTAGACTGGTAAAATGTTTAGATGGGGACAGAATGAGTGGGAAAAGTCAGCAGGATGCTCAGTTTTCTGGCTTGGCCAACAGCGTGTGCCATTGGGGGAGGGGGAAACCACAGCATGAAGTTGAAGAAATAATTAAGAGTAGTTTCGAACATGTGGAAATTAAGGTCTGTGGGTCATCACAGGAGAGATAGTCAATTGTCATTTGGATGTATTGTTATGAAATTCTACAGAAAGAGCTGGGCTGGGCTACAGATCAAGGTGAAATTATGAATATGAATAATGTTACCAAAGAAGTTTTGAGTAAAAAGATAATAAGAGGAAGGGAGCAGAGATTGGTGGCAGGATGTTTAGTTGCCATTTTGAGCCTTAAGGGATGATGGAGCCATGAGCCCTATGACCCTGGGTCCCTGAGGATTTTGTGGAGCAGAGCAGTCACACCACCCCTGGGCTGCCTGCCTCTAGATGTTTAAGAGAAAGAGAAATAATGTTCTATCTTGCCAAAGCCACTGTTGTTTTGTGTTTTTCTGTTATTTAAAGCAGAATAGAATCATAGTCTTACCTTCAGATTCATTCTCATACACATTCTCAGACATTGAGCTCAGATAGCATAAACCCCCTTAGACACAAACTTTCTCAGACCCATATTTGTCCCCTCCAACACATACTAGCCTTTTCATACCCCCTGTCATACACACTGACCTCCTACAATATACCTACCCACCTCTTTCTGTGAAAAATACACTAACCCCATACTGATACGCTGACCTCATATCCTCATTTTCCTACTACTACACTGTGCCCTAACCCAAAAACTTGGCCCCTTCGGTACTCTGACACCATCTAGATACACCTGCTTCATTTCTCACTTTTTGACTCACACTGTAAAACCTCTTAAGGTACACACACTGATCCCTAGTCACACTCATCACCTCCGATTTAACTATTCATACCCTCAAATGCACATATACATACTCATTCCCTTAGGTATACACATTGGCCCTTGACAAACCTCAGTGCCACCCTTAAGCAGACATGCTCAGTTCCTTCTTCAGACCCATTTGCTCTTTATAATTTTAGAGAATGTATGCTAACCAGTGATGTGCTGGTAAATGTCTAACAACCACCTCTCCAGGTTGGGAGGGAAGAACTTTGATTTACAGCGTTTGCCCATTTCCATGGTATAAATACTCCACCCATGGCCAGTTTCAAGCTATCAATGGTTTTACAACCTACTCACAAAATTCCTGACAAGTTCACAATGGCTCTCAGAAGCACTCTGCTCCAGGACACCACTGAATGCTGATTATCACAGATGCCCTTGCTTGCTTTAAGTGACTCAGCTGGCCTTGTGGCAAGGTGGCTAAGAACTCTTTTAATACTCTGCCTCACGGAGGCATGGTTAACAGCTGTTATGTTAATAATGATCTTAAAGAGTTGTGATGAAGCTTTAAATGAGATCACTGTAACTTTTTTCAATGATGTTTATAAATTTGAATGTTGAAAAAAAAATGTTTATAAAGAACTGAGTACAATGCCTGCCCTATAGTAAGAACATTGTACAAATTTTTAAAAAATAATCCTTTCTAATTCACTGACCTCCAGAGACACCCAAGACTCCAGAAATATAGAGTCAAACATCTCTCCAAGACAATCAGTTGTATCATGGGGAATCACTAAATTGTATCCTCTGAGAAAAAGCATGGTCTCAATTGTGTGGTACACACTCTCAGAACTCCGGGCGTTTAGAGGAGAGGAAACCAAATATGTCAGAGCCGGAAGAGATGCAAACTGGCAGCCCTCAGGCGAATTCAGTTCTCAAAAGAGTTTTGTTTGGTACCCAGAATGCTTTTAGGCGAGCATGTCTCTTCCATTTTCACAGTCCTTGTCCTTCCCTTTGTCTTACACCCTCCCCACTTTGCTCATTTATGTTACTGGCCCAGCCCTTCAGCCATCCAGTTTGCCACTCTCTGATCTTAAACCAATACACTTGTCTTCTTTTTTTTTTAATTTTTTTTTTTAATTGGGGAATTGGGGGGATGGGAACAGTCTGGGGAATTGGGGGAAGGGGAACAGACAAGTTGCTGTCCTTTTGTTCTTCAGTCTAGTTGTGGAGGATGTTGCTTCACTGGCCCAAGTTGGCACCATCATTGCAGTCTTCCTAGGCGAGGCAGATCAGTCGCCGGCTTCTGGACGGCCGCTCACAGCGGCTGCCGGCTGCTCACACTGGCTGCTGGCTACACACGGTAGCCCATGGCAACCCACTGCAGCAGGGGCTGCAGCCTACAACGTCGCTGGCGACTCACGGCTGCCCAGCTCCAGGTTTAGCTGTTGTTCAGCATCTTAGCTGTAGAGGGCAGTGTCACTGACCCTTATATATGGGATCCGAACCGGGGCCCTCTGGCGTCCCAAGCCAGCTCTTAACCAACGCGTCACTCGGCCGGCCCTACACTTTTCTTTTTAAACTGAGGTTTACATGTGTGAATAATAACAAAAGTTAACTTTTATTGACCACTTACTTTGTGCCAGGCATTATTTTAATACTTACTTCAATCCTATGAGGTGAGAGGTACTTGTTATAATCTTTTTACAGACAGGAAACTGAGCTTTAGAGAGAGAGAAACTAACTCACCAAGTCACAGATTTAGTAATGAATCTAGGTGTGTTTGACTCTAGTCTACTAAAAAATGACTAAATCAAAGAGGATTAGAGAGGACATTCCAGGCAAAGATGAGCCAAGACAAGGGGAGGATGTACTTCTGGAGATGCAGGGAATTGCGAGGAGGCAGCAGACTTAGGTGAGGAAGGCTCTGAACACTGGAAGAGAAAGGTATTGACTTTGAGACGAATTGGGTTTGCCAACCACTTCCCTTCACCCGCATTACCATCACCCTAGTGTAAACCTGAAATCCTGCAAGAGCCTCTTAACTGGACTTCCTCTTCTATTTTCATCCCTATTCATCTCAATGTAATTCTTACTTTCATCAGTGTGGTTGTTTTGGAATGCAAATGGGTCTCCTGACCTGCCCCTGCTTAAAATCCTCCTCGGGCTTGCCCTAGCACTGAGGATAAAATTAAAAAGCTTTAACCTAGCCTTTATGGCCCTGTCTCTGCCCACCTGTCCAGCCTCTACTTGTGCTATTTTTTCCCATTGCCCATTTCGCTGTATTGTAATAGCACTGGCTAATATTTATTAAGGCTCCCCTCATTCTTTGCCCATTTTATCCATCAGATCTTATTCAGCTTAAATGTCATTTTCTCAGAGAGGCCCTCCTGACTCCCCACTCCATCTAGATAAGGTTTCTCTGTCCGCTCTCATAGCACCCTCATCTTTCTTCACGTAACTTACCATGCTATGTGATTATTAATGTGTTTGTGTGTTTAAAGATTAAGGTCTGTCTTCATCACTAGACTGTAAACACCTCAGGGACAAGGGTTGTGTCTGTTTCCTTCATTGCTGTATATTCAGTGTTTAGCACAGTCCCCGCTTATGTTAAGTTTCCAGTAAGTGTTTGTAGAATAAATAGATGGGTTAACAGATGGGTAAGAGCATGTCTCCTTTACATTGGGTGGCACGCACACACAGACAAACATACACTGTTAGTCCTGCGTAGACATTTGAATACGTTTTCACAATGAACACAAAGATTTATTTCAGCTTAAAATTTATTGGTTTGGCTTCTCGAGGGTTCCCAGGAGTGGGGCTGAGGCAGGAGGTGAGTAAGTGAAGGGCAGAGTCCAGTCCTGAGGCTGGGTTTAGTCAAGAGTCACTGAAACCTGTAGAGAGTAGAGAGAGGAGGGGAAATGGTGGATAGGAGGGTCGTTATCAGCTTGGAGTCAGCAAAGAAAATTTATCCTGGCGCCCAGCCATAGTTCAACTGCTCCTACCTCCAAATTAGCTTTTTAATAATAAGGAATCAAAATGATTCAAAAAAGCACAGAGACTGTTACCAACCTTTCTATGGAGCTTTTTCTCATACTCTCTTCTCTATTGTTCTGGGCACATTTATCTCTTCTTTCTTTACCCTCTTACAGGAAGTCTTCCCAGATTTGTTCCTTCAATCCCTCCCTAGCTTCCCGGATTGAAAGTTTCAATGTATTTTGGTTTTTGTGCCTCAGTGTCTGCAATCTGAATGACTGTCCTGTCTCACCCTTTAGGTGGATGGGTCTCTCCATGGTATTTAGCCTTACTTTGTTTCTAGGACATAATAGATTGAAGGACTTCCTAGCTGGTGAGGTAGACTGAAGGCCCATTGAGACCAGCAGCGGCTATGGAGAAGGGCAACATGCCTCCAACTATAGGGGTTCCATCATTGGGAAGGTGCCATGGCACAAGGGTACAGAGGGAAAGCTGAGAATCGGATGGGCAGCTCAGCTTGTGTGGGTGGGGAGGTGAGAGCAGCATCTCACCTGGAGGAAGCTGAGAAAGAAGTGCAAACAGTAATAATAGCTGCCATCATTATTGAACTTATTACTCTGCGAGTGTTCCTCTCAGCTCTTTCCTTGAATTATTTGATTTAAACCCGACAATAACCCCATGAAGTGGTTTAAATAATCCTGATTTTCATGAAAACATGGAGGTTCAGAGAGTATAAGAATTTGCCAGAGGGTGCTGGGGTGAAGATCTGAACCAGCGTCTGACTGCAACGCTCAAACTTATAGCCACTATGCTAGACCCCCAAAGCCACCAAACTCCACCACCTGAGCCTGCAGAGCTCCATCTGATCCACCATCCAGGCCAGCAGCTCTTGAATCAGTAAGTCCTTTAGCAAATCTTCATCACTGGGGTTCTTGGATTGGGAGCTGCAAAGGAGAAAGCCTCCAGCAGGCTGCTTTAGCCTGGGCCCCACCCAAAAAGAGTAAATACAGGGACTGGGACTCCAAGGGGGGTTGGGGGTGGGGAGAGGGAGTCAACACAGCTGCTGCTCAGTTACCTTAGCTTTCAGAGCTCCACCCTGATCTGTCCACCAGGGAACAGAGTCTCTTCAATACAGGGAAAGCCAAACAGAATTCCGGTGGGAGACATCCCACCCCTCCACCTCTGCAAGTATCCCAGAATGCATCACAAGACCCCAAGAGATTATTTTGGGAACATTCACTCTTCAGAATGATCTGTGCCATAGATTCCTCAGCTTCCTCAGACAGGGGGTAACTGATTTCAAGGGACTGGCCCTAGTACAGTCCCTGTTCCATAAATAGCCTTCCTGAAGTGTGGCAGAGAGAAGCGAGGAAGCCAGCTCCTGAAGTGTCATTCGTTGCCTCCTCTCCTTGACTCAGTGACTCTGCACACTAAGTCATCAATCTTAGAAACCCTGGCCCCCCAAGCCCCTCCCAGGAACCCTGCCCCGATTTGTCCCAGGCTTCTCCCTTAAGCTAGGGCTGACCTCCAAGAGTTCGGTGAAGACCCCTCTTTGAACTCAGAGTGGAAAGGGATGCTTATCTGGGGCCTGGCCCTGCTCCGGAGTCTGGGGGACGGGAACAATGAGGTGGGGGTGGGTCAGGAGGCTCCCCAGCCCTCCTTTGCCTGTGGGCTGACTCACCCCTGCTGCTCCCTGGTCTCCTTCTTCCTGTTAGATTGATGGCCCAGCTCTAGGGCCTGGGCCTCCCTCTGGGTGATGTTGTGTTTCCAGCTGGTAAGATAAAGATTAGGGCGTGGGTGGGGTTGGGGACCATGCCAGATGTTCTCCAGTCCACAGATGCGGGAATCTTTTGGTACCTCAACCCAAGGAGCAGAAGGTACCTCCTTCTCCACTCAACTTCCCTGCTACTCATCTTCAGCTGCTAGTGAACAGCTTTTCAGAAGCTACCATACTGACCAAACGGCGAGGGCAGGGAAAGAGATTTGGCAAAGAGAAGGAAGTAGGATGTAGGCAGTTTATCCCATTTCCACAGTCTGCAGTGGCCACCACCAAAAAGTCATCGGCAGCAGCTCAGCTCCATTGCCTTTATCCCCAGTCCCCTGGGGGTCTCTGTGAGCCGAAGATATCTTCTTCTACCTCTTCTCTTAGAAGAAAAGGATTGGAAATTGGCCTAGTCCTGCCCCTAGACTGGACTGCTGCCCAAACCAGGGCCGCCACGATGTCCAGCTCCCCATCGTTGCCTAAGCGAAAGGCGCCATCTGGAGCTGTACATCGCACGGCTGTGTGGCCACGACGGGTGACTGGCCTGAACACAGGAAGGCAGAGCTGGGCTCGGGGAACTCACGCGTTCTTCTTCTCCTTCTGCGCCAGCAGCCAGTTCACAAAATCTTGTTGGCGGATCTTGTCCATAGCAATGCTGTAGTCACTGATGAAAGTCCCCTCAGCGTACCTGCGGCCTCGAGGTTGGGAGCTGCTGGCCTTAGTGTCGAATCTGAGTGGCAGGGAGGGGAGAGAGATAGAAACCAGGATGCCGTGGAAGGGTGGTGAATCACAATGCCAGCATAAACGATTGTCGCTGAAAAGGAACCAGCCCATTACTTGGGAGCTCGTTTTTTATGGAGACCCCCTCTTCTCCATGCATCAAACCCCTGGGACTTGATCCTCAGCTGAAGGACCCACTTCCTGCATCCTCAGTATGTGCGGCTCTGGCTTCTGGGCAAAGAGGGATTGGGGGGGTCCCCTACCCCAAAGGACTGAATCAGTTCCCTTTGATACTTCTCTTGCTTTGACCCTACCTGATTCAGGTCTTGGGGTCCCAGTCAACACTAACAAAAGTGAGCTCTTATATCACAATGCTTACTGTGAATCAGGGCCTCTGAAAACCCTTTAATACATACACTCACTTAATCCTCACAACACCCTGATTCTTTTTTAATTTTAATTTTTTTTCAAATGCAATTGACATTCACTATTATATTAGTTTAGGCAGACACTATTTATACCCCCTTTTTGTGGATGAGGAAACCAAGGTGCAGAGGGCACACAGCATAGGTGGCAGATCCAGGAGTTACCCCCAGGCAGCCTGGCCCAGGTCTGTGTTCTTAACTTTTACATTGATGTATTTACACAGGCATATGGCTTTTCCTTGCATCTGAGAAGACTCAGTTCTTTACTCAGACAAGTATCTCTTGCTTCCCCAAAACACGAAGCCCCTTGCTATGTTCCCCCCTAATACTCTGCTTTTCCTCACAGTAATCATGACAGTTTGCAAAGCGCCTAGGTGGTTCTTCGTCTGTTTTCCCCTTGGATCTATACACTCCATGAGGGCAGGAGGCCTTCGTGGACCACTTCACTAAAATCCTCTGCGTCCTCTATAAAATTTGATCCACTGCACGCATAAATCAATGGTTAAGGCTTTCATCAGAAGGGAGATACTGTCATCTACTTCAGACACTTGATCACTAAGAAGTCCTTCCAGAGATCTAACCACAGTCTCTCCTGCTGCAACAGTAGCTCATAATAAGTACTCTCTGGTTCTGTCCTCGCTCTGCACTCTGGCAGCCGGCAGGTTTTCCCCTCGAGCTTCTTTCCTCTTAGCCTGAGATTCCTCCCTTTCTCACCTCCCCCTTGAAAACCAGAACCAAGTCATCTCCCCATACCCTTCCCCTGCACCTGGCCCTGCCCTTCTCACCCCTACCTGGAGTGACCCTCTTCTTTCTCTCCTAGCACCACTGCCAGGAGCAGCGATACCAGCAGCAGAGAGGTCTTCATGGCCACCGTCTTCCAAGGGTTAAGTCCTGAGCTAAGAGAGAAAAGGGCCAAGATGAAGTGGAAGCACTGTGCTGAGGGAGCAGCCGGTATGGCAACGCACTGCTAGCCACCTCAGAGCCTGTGGGGGTTCTGAAAGCTGGGCGACGTGGAGCCCTGAGGTTTGGGGCTTTTCTAAGAGGCTGGAGCAACATCCTGGGGAGGGCAAAGGGTGCTGAGAGGTAGAGGTGTTAGTAATTAGAAGGAACATGGAGTCTGGCCAAGAGGTGAACTTCCTTTTTGTTTTGTTTTTAAGTGGAGTCTGAGAGGGCAATGGGAGAGAGATCCAGGCAGAAGAAAGCAGAAAAGACCTGTGTGCCTGGACAGCCCCCCTTCCTGGCTCCAATGGCTAGACATCATAGGCATGTGGTTTGGCAAGATTCTCCCCTTAGAGCCCTCCGAAGTTCATACCAGCCAGCTTTCCAGCTCTCAAATTGGCTGTCACCTAAATCTTGCTCTAAGTGAAAGCCACACGTAGAGCCATCCCAGTCCCCCATTTTCAGGCATCTCTATCTTGACTCAGGGAAGTTCTTTCTGAAGTCTGACCCCTCTATGGAGAGCTTGCCCCACTTCTTCAGGGGGTCGTCAGCAGAGATGAAGAGCAGTGAGGAACCTTCCTCCCAAGCCCTAAAAGCCAAAGCTGGACTAGAGATGTGCAGGCTCCCAGAGTTCGTCTTATTGCCTTCGTCACCTGGGTGTTAAAGGAACCAGCAGACCCAACTTCTTATTTCTTACATAAAGGAAAAGAAAGTGAGATATGGGGTGCTGAGCATCTCAAGGGTGCCCAGCCCACCTCCTCTCCAGTGTCTTGTCCATCCCCTGTCCCAGCTGCTCTCTTACCAGACTCCTTTGCTGGCTCTTCCGGAAGAAGGGCAGGGCTGGGATCTCTTCCTCCTACCTTCTGGCCCTTTGCAACCTGCCTCAAGAAAGTCTGCCGTAGCTCCTTTATATCCAGGCATCACAGACCCACTGATTAGCCTAAAAGCATCTTATCTCAAGAAATTAAGCACACAGCTCCCGCCACATTAAGTCCATTTTACACGTAATAAAGTTTCCCTTTCCACCTGAACTGTGCTAATTGGTGATTAACATTTGAATATTTCCAGCAGTTTTCTGGGGCCTGCCCATGAATAAGGTATCTTAAGTGCCCCTTTTCTTCATCCCCCTCCTCCTTCTGGGCACAGAGCTCAATATTCTTCTATCTGTCCCTTCTTTTACTGGTGCTCTTAGTGAAAAAGGATGCCCTTAGTGTGGGCAGACTTGGGTAGGGTGGTACTAACTGGGGGAACAAGACACCACCATAGGCAACAGGCTACTTCTGGATAGGAGTGAATAAGGCTGCATTCATTTGAACCCCAGCTCTGGATAGTGGCCCACAGCTTGGGCAATATGGCAATGTCCCCACTGTGATATCTAGGGGGTTGTCCCAGCCCGCTGTGGAAAAAGCTGAAGAATGAGAGGGCAGAGGGTTGAGGGAATGTGAAGGGCAGAGGTTCCCTGGTGTAACTAGGTGAACTGAGAACTTCACACTCAAGCTGTCTTCCTTCTTAGGAGCAGAACAGAGTAGGGAAAGGAGGCACGTTTACACTTTGGGAACTCAAAAGAAGGTGGGGGCAGCTACAACTCTATGTGTAAAGGTTTATGAGATCCAATCCTCTCTCTTCAAATGTACTACTCTCCTCTATGAGAGACATCTGTGGTCCTGTCTCTGCCATCAGACCGGGGACCCCTGAGGTCACGCTTTGCCTGTCTATCAGACTGGAGGGCTCTCCAGGGCAGGGAC